CTAAGAGAATAACAAAATAGACAGGTTTTACCGAAAAAATCTAAACTTAGATTCAAGGGCTAGCTTATTTTTTTTTTTTTAATTTTTTTTTATGTTCATCCATTTTTTTTTTTTAATTTTTTTTTTTTAACACTTATTTATTTTTGAGACAGAGACAGAGCATGAACACGGGAGGGGCAGAGAGAGAGAGGGAGACAGAATCTGAAACAGGCTCCAGGCTCTGAGCAGTCAGCACAGAGCCCGACGCGGGGCTCGAACTCACGGACCATGAGATCATGACCTGAGCCGAAGTCGGCCGCTTAACCGACTGAGCCACCCAGGCGCCCCAAGGGCTAGCTTATTTACACACGTCTGTCACTAATCTCACTGAGTGTTAAGATAACATGTTATAATACTTAAAATGAAGGACAACTTCATTCTTGATAGCAAAGACAAAATGAAATATACTGAGTGAAGAAATTTAGGAAAGTTCTTTTCCATACTTTTTATGGGCTTTGATGCTATGTTATGCTAAAAACAGAGCAGAATGACAGAGTGAAGTTTAAAAAATGCAGATTGGAATCTTGGCTTCCCCCCCCCCCCCCCACTAGCTGTGCAACTTGAACACTTCTTAGGCCCTAGCTTTCCTCAACTGTGAAACAGAACCATGAGAATTGGAAGTTACTGAAGTAGGGGCACCTGGCTGGCTCAGTAGGTAGAGCATGTGACTCTTAATCTCAGGGTTGTGAGTTCAAACCTCATGGTGGGGGTGGATCCTACTTAAAATAAAAATTAAGAAGTAAACAAAAAATAAAAAAACTGAAGTAAAACATCTAGCTCAGTGTCTGGCATGCAGGATGCAATAACTATTATTAAGTTACAAAGACAATTTATCAAAATTTGCCACAAAACAATGTGCACTGTAAGTTATGCAATAAAAAGTATTTAGATGAAGACTTTCAACTGAGAGACACAATATTCAGAGTGCATTATGCTAGCTTTTCGGGTTATTTTGTAGAGATTTAATGCCAAAGTGATACAGCAAAGAACAACAATAATTTTCACATCTCTGTATCTTTTTAACTTCTACCCAGCTGTCATCTACTCCGGCTGTTTCACAGCTACATATCTAACAAGTACTCTTATCTCTTCATTTTAACTTAAAAATTTTTTCTACACCTATAGCCCTGAGCATCAGATTTAAAGTGTGTGGTGCAGTTACAACATCCAAAAGAATAATAATCAGAATATTCCTTAAAGAAATATTTTAATGAATCAACTATAAAAAGATAAACTTCAGTTATCTTTCACCCAGAAAAAAATGCGGCTAAGAAAAAGAAAACAGTCTTTCACTTTCTGTATTAATCATAATTAATCTGAAATTAGTTATTATTTGCTACAAAAATGTCCTCAGGGATTGGCTATCTGCTTACAATCATAAAATTATCAGTCCTTTAAAAACCATTCTGTAATTTTGAGAATTAAAACAATAATTTGAGGGTTGCCTGGGTGGCTCAGTCAGTTAAGCATCTGACTTCTGCTCAGGTCATGATCTCTCAGTTCACAAGTTCGAGCCCTGTGTGGGGCTCTGTGCTGACAGCTCAGAGTCTGGAGCCTGCTTTGGACTGTCTCCCTCTCTCTCTACTCCACCCTTGCTTGTGCTCTCTCTCAAAAATAAAAATTTTTTTAAAACATAAAAATAACATGATGTCATGTTTTAGATACGAAGAGACTGTTTTACCTTGTCTACATCTTTTATCCATTGGAACTAAATATTTAAAATGTTTTCAATGAATTAGCAATAAGTTTACTACTTCATGAGAGCATTTTATTGTTTTACTGCTTGTAAATTAGGTTAGTAAAGAGGTAAATGGGGAAAAGAAGAGGTAAATGACTTATGAAATATTCAGATAATGAAACTCATTAGCACATACCATTTCCACCCCTTCCCATTTGTATTCTGGCATGGACCACTTCACATCATAATAGAGGACTAAAATGTTTTCTTATAAACCAAAAGCGAATCACAAATACTGTACAAGGAGGGTTTTTTTTTTATCCCTTATTAAAAAAATTTTTTTTCATGTTTATTTATTTTTGAGACAGAGAGAGAGAGAGAGAGAGAGAGAGAGAGAGAGACAAAATCCAAAGCAGGCTCCAGGCTCTGAGCTGTCAGCACAGAGCCCCACATGGGGCTGGAACCTGTGAAGTGAGAGATCATGACCCGAGCCTAAGTCCAATGCTTAAAAGACTGAGCCATCAAGGCCTGGCCCCTCCTTTTTAAAAAAATCTTATCAAATACCTTTAGAAAGCTTCAGTTGCTTTAGTTCAAGGTAATAGATATACTTAATAAGGCAATATTTTTATTATAGTATCAAGACTATAGGTAAACTACAAATTAAAATATAAGCTAAGGGGAGCCTGGGTGGCTCAGTCGGTTAAGCGTCAGACTTCGGCTCAGGTCATGATCTCGCGGTCCATGAGTTCGAGCCCCGTGTCGGGCTCTGTGCTGACAGCTTAGAGCCTGAAGCCTGTTTCAGATTCTGTGTCTCCCTCTCTCTCTGACCCTCCCCCGTTCATGCTCTGTCTCTCTCTATCTCAAAAATAAACAAACGTTAAAAACATTTTTTAAATAAAATGTAAGTATAAAAATAAGATAAAGCAATGCAATTTTAAAACACATACTACAAAAAACTCCTTCCAACAATAATTCATGCAGTCTAGAAGAAAACAAAATGATAAAGAGCAGACTTCAGTGGCAAAAGGCTATCCTCCACTCAGATCTTTGGTATTTGGGTTTCTCTTTCAGGATTCCTGTTAACTGCTAAAAGTCTATTCAGTAATTTTAAGGATGGTCTTGACTTTTACAGTAGTACTGAATGTGCAAATCACCAAAAATTAAGCTTATTGGGTCTCTCTACATTAAGGCAAACTAAAGTTCTATTAAAGTAAACACCAAATTATATCTACTATGATACTGCCTTCCTATGATTAAGTTAAATATGAAAATTCTAAGGAGGCCAATTCCTTGATTTTCTCCATTCCTCACCTGCAACAGTAATATTGTAGAGCAAACCAAGGAATAGACTAAACTGAAGACCCTCAGGTAACAATTTCACCCTCTGCACCTAGCTGGCAAGTTTTCTGAAACTTTTGTCTGACTGTCTTACAATTTCATCCTTCAAATGGAAATGAAGAAACACACCAAGTGAGATGTACACTGAGCTCTGAGTGATCCCAGGTCAGTTTGATTCTCTGCCAGAAAGGGCCAGGTAACATTTACTCTTCTTGTTGTAGCAGTTTCTTTCTCTTATCAATAAACCCCAGTAAACCTTGTGGTATATTACCACACTACTGCAATTCGTCAGTACTTAGAATATACTTCACTTCCAAAGGAATCACTTCCCTAACACGGACTTCCCTTCACCAAAGACACTTTCAGATGTTTTCCTATTTCCTCATCCAGTCGTCCATTCCACAGCTATAAACCTCTCGCCAGAGGAGGAAGAGTTCTTAAAGAATGGATTTTCTGAAGTCTCTCAGGCCTTCATCCCAATCTCAAAGCCTGTACACATCTGAGAGTTCCCAGAAACAATGAGCTACAAAAGTACAGACTAAACGGGAAAGAAGAGGAAGTATCAGAACAATACCCAAACCAAACACGCACCAAAAACCCGTGGTAGTCTCTATCATCCCAGTCTACCAACCCCCACTTCCCTAGAGTAACCAAACAAGGGCTCTCAAACTCGGAGAAATGGCCCCCTGGCCCATCATTTCCCTCTCGTTTCACGAAGAAGGTGGCAGAAAGAAAAGAAGCAAGCCGGTAGATCGGAGCTGTGATGCTTTTTCTGCCGAGAGGAGGGAGGCAAGCCAAGGGTTGTGTAAAGAATGGAAAGCTGAGTGATACTGGGGGGAGGGGGGAATTAGGGCGCCAGAGCTAATCCCTTGCCGGGGCCCGCTGGTGGAACAGGCTGGAGGCGACCAGCCGGGAAGACCAGGGAAGCTGGGCTGCTGCATTGGGCTTTCGGGTCGAGAGAAAGGGGAAAGAAGTCTGGCAGCCCCAGCGGTCGGTGGATGACGGCGCCAGGCAAGGGAGGCGGCTCTGTGCGGAGCGAAATTTTCGGGACACAAGAGCGGGAATCGTTTTGTTCACGCCGCCCCAACCCCCCCCCCCCCCAGGCTCACACCTCAAACCTGCTCTTGGTCACTCCGTTCACGTCCCTCCTCATGGGGTCGGCGGGTGCGGCCGGGGCCGGGTGCTACGGCGTGCGGAGTGCAAAGACTGGGGGCCACGGGCAGGCCCGGGAGTTCCGGGACCGGGAGGAGGTGGAGGAGCGGCGGGCAGGGGCCGTCAGCGAGGAGCAGAAACCTCTCGGCTCCGGCGGGGCCTCCTCCACCTCCCGCAGAGCCGGCGGCTGCGACGACTGCTTGTCGCTAGCTCTTCTCTCCCCTCAGCCTCAACTTCAACCCAAAACAAAAACACTCCCCACCTGCCAGCAACGCCGTTCCTCATTGGGCAGAGCCGCCTGGGCCTCGGAACGGCGTGGGGAGGGGAGGAGGAGGAGCGCGCGGCGGCGGCGGCGGCGGCGGCGGCGCGGGACCACCCCTCCCCCACTCCCGGGCGCAGCCCGCGACGGTCCGCCCGGGAGCAGCCGGAGTGCGGCGGCGGCGGCGGCGGCGCGAGCCCGCTCTTGCCTCCAAGGCACGCAAGCCCACCGCGAGAAGCAGAGGCAGGGAAGTGCCTATCTGTCTGTGTGTATTTGTGTATGGGAGGGGCTGTGGGGAGGGTGCGAGTGCGCGCGTGCTCGCGGACTCGCGAGTGAGGAAAGCAGGACAACTGCAGATAGTACCAGAGCCCATCTAATCCCCTTCGCGGGCAAACAGCACGCACCAACCCAGCAAGCACTTGAGCTTTCTGCCTAGTCCTCCCAGTCCCCTAAGACTTGTCTCTTCTTCCCCAGTAGCCTGTGCATCCACACACGTCCTTCCCGGCCACCCAACTCCCTTCCCCTATCACTCACTGTCGCCTTGAACCCAAAGTGCAGCAGGCGGTCCCTGCTCGGAGCCATTTTCCTCCTTTCTGGTTGTCTCTAGGTTGAGGCAGTGCTGCTGCTGCCGCCGCCGCCGTCGCCTTTGCTGTCGCTGCCGCCGCCTCCCCCGCCCCCGTGGATTGCATTACCGGGTGTTGCAGGGAGGCCTGGGGGGCCGTCGCAGGGCGTGGGTCTCCCTGTGCATGGATCAGCAGGACGGGGATGGGGGGTGGGTAATTGCGCTACCCTCTGCTCCAGGAATATGCAGCGAGGCCCCACCTCGCGTCTTGGGGTCAGGGCGTTCAGTGCAGGAGCTGGGCGACCCTTCCTTTTAGCTGGGGGAGGGGCGCGCTTTGGTGGGGGGGGGGTGTGCCTGGCGAGGCTGAAGGGCCTTTGGCTTCCCCCGCCCCTCCGCCACCAGACGCCGCTGCCACCCAATGGGCTCTAGTGCCTGCCCGTCCTCCAATCGGGGCTCTGTTTGGTGAGAACCTGATCCTGACGCCACTTTGGCGGGAGAAACAAGCGTGTTTTAGCGAGTAGGCGGGCGCGCTGGCCGAGTGGAAATTGCGACATTCAGCTGACTCCTTGGTTCCTATAAAAGCTAGTTTGTGTCATCATATTATTATACTTTAGCAACACCAGCCCTCAAGGTCTCGAAATTTATGATCGAATTTCTATGGATTAGGGAATACGTTTACTCTTTTAGAGCGACAGACTACAGAATCATGCACCGAAGATGAAATAGAAACTATTGTAAATTCGAGCAGTCCTGGCAACATCATCTTCCCTAATTGTATTACAAAGTATGTGTTTGTCTTCATATCGCTTTTAAATCGCAGTTTTAGTGACTGGATTGTTACGAATGTGATTTGAGAGAGTTTATTTAAGAGCAACTTGTGCTGGAGATCTTTTTAAAATAGGGATATTCAGGGGCGCCTGGGTGGCGCAGTCGGTTAAGCGTCCGACTTCAGCCAGGTCACGATCTCGCGGTCCGTGAGTTCGAGCTCCGCGTCAGGCTCTGGGCTGATGGCTCAGAGCCTGGAGCCTGTTTCTGATTGTGTCTCCCTCTCTCTCTGCCCCTCCCCCGTTCATGCTCTGTCTCTCTCTGTCCCAAAAATAAATAAAAAACGTTGAAAAAAAAATTTAAAATAGGGATATTCATGCTTGAAGCTTTATTACCCAACTCTTTTTTTTTTTTTTTTTAACTTTTTCGTGTTTATCCTAGAAAGGGCTTCCTGAGCAAGGAACCAAGCTTCGGAAAGTCGTTCTCAGGCCCACAAACTCAGTGATCTAGAGGTTATATTCTTTTCCCTGATACTTTTAATGTTACTGCTTCTCTTCAGCCATATAAAAATAGTTTAGTTCCATGTATCTAAGAGCAGTTTTATCCCGACTATTGATGAATTTGATGACTAAGGCCTGCAAACGAGAGTCAAACTGGCTCAGATAAATGAAGAAAATTTTCACAAGTCTGTTTCCTTTTTTCAATTATCCTTTCCAGTTAACCTATTTGAGTAATTATCAGGGAAGACTTTTACTTCCTGATTGAATTTTTTTTCTGAATGGTGTATTTTTAAAAAGCTGAATCAAAATCACTCAAAGGTTAAAAATTAACTGCACAGGGGCCCTGGGTGGCTCAGTTTGGCATCAGACTTTGGCTCAGTTCATGATCTCCTGGTTTGTGGGTTTGAGCCCAGTATCGGGCTCTCTCCTATCACCACAAAGCCAGCTTTGGATCCTGTCCCCCCACCCTACCCCTGCTCTTCCCCTGCTATCAAAAACAAATAAACATTAAAAAAATTACTACACAAAGGTATATTACTTTTTATCAAAGAAATTTATTTTAATGTAAATAAACAGGTTTTTTTTTAATGTTTTGGGGAAAAAAATCCCACAGATTTTGTCTACTTTCAAAAAAATGAAAAACCCCAAAGTATTTACAGAACGGCCATACACACAGAAAATCAAATTTGAAAGATTTTTTTTTAGAAAAGACCCTCCCCAGCTGCTCCTGATGTACATTTCTAAAACACAAAATTTATAAAGCCCAGCTTTTACAGCTGAGCATGTTTCCCAACCTAGCTTCTGAGATGTTAAGTACTTCCTACCCCTCAAAAAACTAACTCCAGGGTAGAAATAAGGGGGCAGGGAGATTGAAAAGAGGAAAAAAAAAAGGGGGGGGGGAATGAATTGCCCAGGGATTGTGAATGAGTTTCCTATACTGGCATCTGCTTCAAGTGACTTGACTGGATACTGTATGACTCACTGGCTCCCTTGAAAGGGTTGCTTCTGAGAATTCATGGTATTGCTGCACTAAGTTTTCAGACCTAAGCCTTAAGGAAAATCTTCCCAAGAGTCACCAACCTCAAGGCCAGTTTTGGCAATTATATCCTGCTTCGTTTCTCCCTCCTCCCTTCTTTAAAATACCGGTTTTAAAACACATAGATTTTGAACCTGAAATCTTCATGTACATCAGAGCAGGTTTTGACCAAGAACCCCTAACATGGAGCCAAAAGACAGAAGAGGAATCAGGTCAAACTAAGAATACACAAGACACCAGCAGCAGAAGATAGGTGGAAGTTGACTTCATGTCCTTGCAGTCCTTTGAAACAGGAGAGTGAGTACACCTAGACAGGAGGGAGGTGTCCCAGGCTTGGTTTATTCTGCCTCTTCTCCTCCACCCTGTGAAGAAATGCAGTGCTCCCTGGTTCTCAGGCAGGGTGAAGCAGGTTAGCCCCGGCTCCCTGTTAAGCAAGTTCAGATGCTGGGTCAGTGTGTGGGGTGTGCCCATCGACAATTCAGGGGCTTATCCTTCATCCAGATCCTAACTCGGGATTCTTTGATCTGGGATGAAGACAGAAAGAGAGAAAAAGCTTCCCAGTTTACTCATTTTGGTATCTGTTGGCTCTGCTTGGGGAAGCTGAGCCCCTGATATGTAGTACATTCCCCATAAGATTTTCCCCACCCAGAACAAACTTAAAACCGTGTAACTTTTTTTTTTTTTTTTCTCTGCAGAAACCAATGGGATAGGATTCAAAACTAGGTGAGAAACTTGTGAGAAATCCAACCTGGTTATATGTCTGAGAGGCTGCTACTGTATCAGCATCACAAGATAAAGCACTCTGGTATCACCTTGCCCATGTCCTCCTTAGTGTCACCCAAGACATTTGACTCTGATACGGTAACCGATAACTTTTCTTGCTCCACTTTGCAATGTTTCGTTTCCTACTTCTTATTACCTTGGGACACAAAAGTGGCAGAGTTGTTGAGAGCTGATGACCAGAAAAGGGAGAACACTAGAGGAAATCAGAGACAGTCAGGAAAGAACGCCAAAGCTGATTTTCCAACTCTATGCTAACTCCAACCTGCAGAAAGAGCTGAATATAGAAATCTTCTTCATTATCTGATGAAGTCACTCCGTTTATCACACACACACACAAATGAATCACCTGGCTTTTTTTTTTTTTTTTCTTTTTTAATCCAGAAGAGTTGTGCTGGGGACCGTGCCCCGTCCTGCTGATACAGATCCTGAATGGAATCATCAGGAATGGCACAGTGCAGGTGTCAAAATCAAAGTAAGGCCGCAGAATTTTGAGAGGACCCTCCAAATACTGAGAACTTGTGTTGCACTTCATGTGGTCTCCTGGATTTCTATATTTATGAGAAGGGCTTCTTATTGATGTCCCCCAGAATCCAGACTCAGACCTATTCCTCCAAAAAGGTCCAATTTTGTTGCTACATAGTAGCAAGGGTTTATCTTCATGCCCACCTAGCATTCCAGGCCCCCATTACTTTCAAGTGAGCTTGAAATTGTTTTAAGTGAACTATGGCTGCAAATTTTTTCTGTTTTATCTAAGGGAGCATACAGTGGAGTGATTAAAGTCTGGACTCCTTCTCCTTACGATAAAGAGAAACAAGGAGCCCAGCTCTCAGGAATGGCATCAGTTCTCCAACAAACAAAATGCTGGGATGTGGACTTTTGGCACATTGTGGAAATAGGAGAACTATTAATTCTGTAATGGTTTTCATGCCACTGGGTCAGGGAGGCTGTACCACATTAAACCTTACTACATCTGAAAACATGTTTATATCCCAAAAAACCAGCCCAGCCTTTTTTAAAGAAAAACAAGACTATAAATCAATACCTCCACAGGGAGGTAATTCCTAATATTCCTATGATGTCTGAACCCTATGATAAATCTCCTAAAACAAAAATACCATTTTGGTTTTTTCTACTTAACTCCAAAGGTGGGCTCTAATCTGCATGGGCTTGATGGTACAGTACCAGCACAAGCTACAGGCTCCCTACCACCAAATAAGCCTTGCTTTTCCACCTCCCCTCACTTTGAACCCTGAACCTTATAGAATTAGAAACACTGTATAAAGACAAACAGATAAAGGATTAAAATATTATGAATAAATAGCTAAAATTATCTTCCCTCCCCCAATCACTCCTAAGAAACAGACACCAAACATTACTTAAGTGTCCAAAATGACCAAAGTCCTTCATTTGCCCATGCCTCAAATGGACAACTACCCAAACAAAGTGAACAACCTTCATGCAAATGCATCAAGGAATGTATTGCTTTTTCATTTGCTGCCCAGCCCTTCAAATACATGCACTAAAATGAGTTAAAACATGGCCTAAAAATGGAAAAAGGGGAAAAAAAATATATATGAATATTTCCCACAAAACTGTTTCCCACCCTTCCCTCTTCTTATGCCCCACCCACCCCCTCCCTTTCATAAGCAAGTATTTTAACCTTTTTTTTTCCTTTATCTGGCAAAAGAAAAAGTGATTCTTGGTAACCAGAATCAAACCCTATGGTCTCTTTAGTTGGGTCTGGCTATGCCTTTCTAAATTCACCCAGCTCGGTGTCAAAACCATGTCATTTAAGATTCTTAAACACAAAATGAGACCTGCCTAACTCACCCCTTATGGTGGTTTGCCTATACACTTAGTTTTTCTCTGGCCACTTTTGTCTTAAAAAGGTTCCTAATTGCCAATCAGGGCCACATCCATAAGATCGTCATCTTCCTCCCCAATCATAAAGTCAGGGCTGAGCCTTGATGGCCTGTCTGTAGATAAAATTGTGTTACTTGTCATAGACAAGGACTGGTCTGAAGAGATGGGTGATTTAGACCAACTCTCTGGCTTGAGACTATGAGATTTTTTCTTGTCTCGGTCTTTGTCCCGGTCCCGGTCTCGATCTTTGTCTTTTACTTTCTTCTTTTCTTTTTTGTGCTTCTTATGCTTTTCTGTGCTGTATTCTGGAAGTGGTCGGATACCATCATCTGAGCTGGGACTGTTCTGATAAGATTTCTCCGCTATGGAGGAGCCTGACTCACTTTCACTGTCCAGATTCTGGGGAGTATATGCTGGTGACTTAC